CTTCCACGGCTGGCCGTTTCTGGGCCCTGCCTCTCGGCGATCCTTGGGCATGATCTATTGCTCCGGAGCGCCACACCAGTTTGGTGTAGTGGGTTAAGTGCGCGGACTCTGATCTGGGAGAACCAGGTTTGATTCCCCACTCCTCCTCCACATGCAGCTGCTGGTGTGACCTTGGGTCAGTCACATGCTCTTTCAGAGCTGTTCTCTCAAGGGCAGTTCTCGGGAGAACTCTCTCAGCCCCACCAGCCTCACAGGGTGCCTGTCCTGGGGAGGGGGAGGGAAAGGAGTTTGTAAGCCGCTCTGAGACTCCCTTGGGTAGTGAAGGGCCATGGGGTATAAATCCAATCTCCTCCTTCCTCCCAACCTGACTCAGGACAGGGCACCTTCCTCTCTGCCATGGGCTCCCCCTCCCCCAGGGACGGGACGGGGACCACCCCTTCAGCCCCGCCCCGCCGAGTGAGGCTGAGACGGGCCTGGCAGGTCAAAGATCCCGTCAACATGAAGATCCATCCCCTGGGGGATCCCCAGCCACTCCACCTGGCCAGGGGTCCCTTGCGTGGTGCCCACCAGAAAGGGGTGGGGAGGGAATGGGGGAGGGCACCCCACTGAGTCCCCCCCTTTGCCACTCCCCTCCTGAGCCCTCCTCCTCCTCCTTCCCTCTCTGTCCCCTGTCATGCCCCCCCCTCCTGTCTCTCCCCCAGCGGGCTCTCAAGGCGCCCAAGGCCATGAGAGTTCCTGCAGTCGTGAGAGGACGGGACTGGCAAGAGGGAAGGGGGTTGCGGCCTAGCCTCAGCTGCCCCCCCCCCATCAAGGCAATGAACTGGCCGCTCCGTGCAGGGCAAGGGGTGTCTGTGGCTCACGGCTCGACTGAAATCACTTCACAGCTTTACCACCAGCGACGAGTGAGGGTGTGTGTGTGTGTGTGTGTAAGAGAAGGTGTCCCCCCCCCCGCCCCCCCCACCCCCATGAGAACTTCAATACAAGGAGAGCCAAAGGGAAGGAGGATTCACACTCCCCTCAGACAGGGAAACCCACCTGGCTTCAAGCACCACCGCTGCACCTAAGGGGGCCGTGTTGTACTCCACTGCCGATGCCCACGGCCTGCATCCCCCCTTCTCCGCTTCTGAACTGCGCTCCGTCACCCCGTTTCTGCATCACGGGACGTCCCGTCTCAGATGGGCTTCTCGTTTCCCCCATTTCCCCAACTCCCGTCTCAATGCTCCCTCTAAGCTGTGGGGTCTTGCGAGCAAAAACTCTACTTTGTAAGCTACACGAGCATTCAAGTTGTGAGCCAGCGATTCGGCTCCTGCATAAAATTAGTTTGCTCTGGAGGCCTCCTCCCTGAGCAAAGACACAAATCTGTGAGCCGGAGGCTAAAAAACTGTGAGCGGGCTCACACTCACTCAGCTTAGAGGGAACAGTGCTCCCGTCTCCCTCTCCCACTTCACTGTTTAATGGAGATCTCTACTGTTTGCTTGAATTGGTTTTCTAAATCCTGTAAACCCCCCACTCCACCCCACCCCCCCGCTCTGAGTCTCAGCAAGAAAAGGGAGACGACACGCGAGGTCGATGAAGCTGTGGCTTTCCCCTACTTCCTACCCGGCTTGGCCCCGTGCCCGTATGAAGGAGAACTCTACACGCTGCCTCCTACTTGACAACCCCCCCCCCCCCCCTCCCTCCCCCCCCCCCAAAACGGAACCCAGGGAAGCAGCACAAGCAGCATGCACACACAAACACAGTTAGGAGCAGGACCGAGGGCCCCCCACCACCACTTGCAAGCTCCGGTCCTATTTGGGGGCAGGCTCTGTTTGGAGGGGCGCCTGCTCCGGTGGGTCACAGCCCGCCCACAGAGCCGGTCACCGCTGAGACCGCTCAATGGCACACCACGCCAGGTCACCCACCTCGAGGCCACAGTCAGCCCTACACTTGAAAAAAGGCGAGGGGG